AAAGGAGGTTCCTGATAACCATAATCTTTCTAAGGCTAAAAGGGCTTTATCTCCTTATAACTTAATTTTCATATATAAAATATAAACTTCTTAATCATTTGGTGGGTTTCCATTGTTTTTTTTCTCTGGCCCTCGGAATAGAATGCCTGTATATTTCTGCTGGCTTCCCCAAGTTTTCTTAGCTTTCATATTGACTGATTCTTCCTTGAGCCATATGATTTTTTATACTTCAGAAATGTCTAATTATTCTCTTCAGTAGCATTTTACTATGTGCAGTTAGACAATTAGTGTTATAGCAATCAATGATCATATTTTTTCAACTACCAATTTTGTCAGTATGTTTAATTTTATATACCTTACACTATAGTTACTCACACTTTTATTCTTTATAGAAATGGATAATATGTTACATTGTTTATTTCTGCCCCTTAAATGTTTACAGCCTAATGCACTGGTGAGTAAAGTTTTTCTTTAGCTTTTTAGGAAATTATTCTAAACACAGTTGGCTTCTGACCATCCCCCGCTGTGAAGATTCAAACAAGAAGACTGTCTCAGCCTGCAAGTAGAGTTCTCAGAGACACAGGGCATCAATATCTGGTGGGGTCATAGACTTTATGCTAGAACCATGCCTGCTGGAGCAAAATTGGACAAGAATAAGAGTCAACTTTTAAGTTGGCTGATCATTATGATAAAAGAACTGACTTATAGTTTTATTCTTTCGAGAAGAAGAATGAACTGGAATCCTGGCCCACTTATCCTGAATGATTACATAGCATGCAGTTATCAGCGGTAATAGAGAATGAAGATGAAGAAATTTTCAGGAAATCTCTGTACCTCATTTTAGGCATAATTTAAATGTCAATGATAAGAAATATTTAATCTAGTTTTACTAAAGTCTTTTCTTTGGAACATTAATTCTGTTTTATGTCCTAAAAAAAAAAAAAAAAAGAAAAAGAAAAAAAAACTCTCTAGAGAAATAAGTTTGGGAATGCTGGGTTCAACAGAGTTTAAAACAGTTTCTTTATTGTAGGACAGCTAGAAACCTTTAATACCCCAGTGTGCATTGTGAATTTCTAAAAAGGGGGGATATAATATGCAACATTTCTCCAATGTATTGGGTTTAAACACCTGTTTTTTCCCAAGAAGATTCTCAGAGAAGAATTTTATAGATCATACACTGATAAATGGTGCTCAAATCAGAATTGGTAATAGATAGAATGTTTATATGATTGTGCTAAATCTTCTTTATCTTCCTTGATAAACCTGCCAAAAGAGCAAAATTCCTAAGGGCAAGTAAACATATGGGAGGAGAAATCAAAAGTTCTGGATAATCAGTCTGCAAATGCTTCAGAGTGAACCATACTTTTAGTAATAATTGGTCTCCAGATTGTTCTCCAAATATGTAGTTTACAGGAAATGTAAATCAGCACATGCCCCTACCAAACACCTTTTTAAAAGTAAACTGCTACATTTCTTAAGCAGTAATACTTTCTTCCGTCTCTCCAAGCTAAGGGTGCTTTCCACCAGCATCCAGTCTGCTAGTGGCTGGGAAAGTGTCCAGCAGAACCATGGGTGAGTACTTCCCTGCTCAAAGCGAGTGATCACATTGATTAGTAGCTGCTCTGTAGGAGCTGGGAGACAGATGCCTTGTTCTAATTACAGTTTTAGCACCTTCCACTCCACATTTCCCTGCTGCTAAGGGTGCTGTGAAGTCTTTGCAGATGCTTATCATTATCAGTTAAACTCCATTTTGAATACAAAGTAGTATTATTACCTCGCAGGAACTCAAAGTACAGCATACATTCACATGGTGCAGTCCCAGATCTCACCTGAGTAATACAAAGGAGATGACACAGAGAAATTAAAGTCTCCATTAGCTTCATTTACCTCATACTGCATCGTGATGAGGACAAGGATCACACTTGGGATCCTTCCTAGCACCTGCACTCAGTGATCATAAGAAAGTAGAGGGAACAATGAGACAGACTGAGGAGCTCTGGTCCGGGACGTAGAGTGAGACCTGTCATTTCACACAGAAAAAGCTTCTCAGTGGGCTTCCCCTGTCCTTCTTGCCTGGCTTCACAGTTTCATGTTTCTCTTTAACTTCTTGGGAATACTGGTGTTCTTTTTCTAAATCAATCACTCTTTCCCCCCTAAACACTTTCCACTGGGACTCTAGTCCACGCCTGTGCTCTAGCTGTCCAGTCTAATTGGAGAGCTAATGAAATTGTGCCTAAACCCCTGGTTTCACTCATGAACTACAAAGTCATATTTTTATCTTCCTGGTGAACATCTTCACATGGATATTCAACTGATGACTCAGATCAGTATATTCCAAAAAAAAAAAAAAAAAATGTTTCCATCTCCACTCTCCTAAGCTTGTCTTTTAAAGAAAAAGTTTTAATGTATTTCACATATTTGTCCTAGACTAAAAATTATAAAGTAGATCATTTATTCAACAAATATTTATTGACAACCAATTATAGAGAAGAAACTGTCCTAGAGGTGGAAACATATCAGTGACAAAAACAGAAAAACAATCCCAGCCCTCCTGAGCTTATATTCTACTGGATTATGCCAGAAAATAAGCAAGTCAAACATATACTATGTCATAATGTAATAAAGTTAAGGGGAAAAATTAAGCAAATGAAAAGACTCAAAGGTGAGCAAGTGTTTGATATGTTTTACAAATAGCAAAGAAGCCTAATGGGACTGGAGCAGAATGAACCAGGAGAAGAAATTAGTTAAAGATATAGTGGAATCAGATAATGAATTATAGTTGTTCTCAATCCAGATGGTCCTTTATAGTTACCTAGGAAAATATTGTTTTTAATATTAATTAAGACTTGTTAATTTAGGGCCTCTGACTATGAGGCCCAGATAACTGATCTTTGAAAATCTTTCAGGGTGATTTTAATTCATAGCCTATGTCAAGAACCACTGAAATGTGGGCTTGCTGTCTACACTAATGGTTTAGTTTACTCTAGCTAAGAGAATGTTTCATCAGAAAAGTAGTATCATTCTACTTTCGTTTTAAAGAGATAACTCTCTCACATTCATGGAAAAAAAACTATGGGTAACAGTGCCAAGGGCATAAGTAGGGAGACAACTTGTGGGCTCTGACAATAATTCAAGTGAGAGAAGATGGTTGCATGGACCAGAGTGGGAGCAGTGGAAGGGAGAATGGTCATTTTCTGACTATATAATTAGAAGAGAGAGTCAATAGGATTTGCTAATGCATCAAATGTATGTGACAAAAAGAGAGAATTCAACTATAACTCCAAATTTTAGGTATAAAAAGGTTGGAGTTGCCATAACAGAAATGAAAAAGTTTGTGGGAGGAAGCTTAGAAAGGAAGATCATGAGATGCTTGTCAAATTATTGTGTCTCTTATGTCTCTAACAGACATTGAACAAAGTAAAGATATCCAAAACTCTGAGGTAGACAAACAGATCTAGAACCCAGAAGTCCTTAGGAGAAGTCTAAGCTGGAGACATGCATTTGTAAGTCATCAGAAAATAAATGCTTTGAAAGCCAAGAGACTGTATGAGAGCATCTAAAGAGTGCATGAAATGAAGAAAAGATGTACAAGATCTGACTGTCACTGAAACTTAGGGAGATGAGTAGCCAATGAGGAAGGAAGGGAACTGGCTGGTAGAGTAATGGGAAAGAAGTGAAAGAAGTATTTCACAAGGATCTGTTTCTTCCAATACTGCAGCTAAGTCAAAGACTCAGTATTGGCTATTGGATTTAGTAATATGTATGTCTCATATATATTTAATATAATACATATTTATATTACTATAAAATCATGAGTCAGAAATATGTGCCATTGTAATATATATATATATCCACACCATTGGTTGACTTCATAGGAGTAGTTTTAATGGAATTGTGTGGGTGAAAAGAAATATTAGAGTGAGATTAAGGAAGAACTCAAGGAGGCAAACTAGAAACAAATTTTTAATAAATTTTATAATTAAAAAGGAGCAGAGAAGCATGCTGGCAACAGAAGAGGAAATGGAGTTTAAGAGAGTATGTGAGAGTGTGTAACAAAAAGAGAGATTATAGTATTTTCTGTGATAATACAAGAGTCAGCTAGAGCAATTGCTGGAGATATGTCCTTGAGTAGAAGCAAGGGAATGAGGTCTGATGGGCAAGAGAAGGGTCTGAACTTTGCTAAGATCAATAGTTTTTTCAAGAAATACAGGGATAAGCATGGACAGTGGGATTACATGGAAGGTTTTTCTTTCTTTCTTTTTTTTTTATAATTAACAGGCTGAATTTAGGATTATATTTATTAGATTAACTAAGTGAGTTTTTTTGTTGGCCTGAAACAAGTGGGGAAAACAAACAAAACCCTGGAAATGTCACTTTCCAAACCATCCATTACCTTGTCAGTCACAGTGTGGAAGCAGAGTAGTTTAACAAGGTTTGGCCATCTAAGAACTTTCTTAGGCACATAGTCCTAAATTTAAGCATACTTTATGCATAGAAATTTTATCTGTCCATGAGTTTTAAGTTGGTCTTCATACTTGCTGGCAGGAAAATCTTTGTATACCTTGGTTACAAAAAGGATCAAAATCTGTATTAAAAGTACTAGAACCATCTGAAGAAGCCAAAGGAAGGCAGTTTTATTACTCTTTCTCCATTTAGGAGAAAAATCTGAAAAATGACTCTTATCCATCTCTGGTAAAGAATGTGTTCAAAACTGTTATTTTAAACTACAATATTTTGGGAAAGATCTTTGCTTTATACAATGGTAAAAATGATATATTATACATTAATATACCATATATTGCCATGATATATACACTGCCTATCAAAACATTTTTTTACCATTCTTTAAAAAAAATAAAAACACCTAAATGTGTTCTTTTTAAGCTGTACATTTTCTCCAAAAGAAGAAATTTCTAGCTTTTACTCGTGGAGGGGAGGGAGGCACATTTGTATAGAATTATTCCATCTAAGAAGTTTTTCTCATGTAAGAGATGTGGGATTCACTGTATCACTCCTATTTTCTTCTTTTTTCTCTTTTTTTTTTTTTCCAACGTTTCTACCATTTTCCTCTTCTTGGTTGACACCAGGCTACTTCCTTTCGTTGGCTTATTCCTGTCATCAGTTAAACCACATTTCTTCTTATTAGGTTTGGACTGCCTTTCTTCCTCCTGCACCATATTGCCAGCTTCCTTTTTGTTGATTTGAGACTCTTCTTTACTTACAACGGAAGGCTCTGCAGCCGGAGGAAGGCTTTCTTTTGCATCTGCCGCTCTGTCTAGCCACACTCTGAGGCATGTCAGCCTGGCATTAGTTTTTACTTCACAGAGTAAAGATGGAGGAACTTTCTTATTCTGCGTAAGCTTCCACATTTTGATGAAGCCATCACTTGATGCTGTAACAATAACATGATGCTCTGGAATTTCAAAACTGAACATGTCCTTTATCCTGTTATCATGAGTTTTAAATTCACAGAGACGCATTAGTGAATCACAGTCAAAAAACCTGACAACTTCTTCATCTCCAGCCACTGCCAGGACAGACTCTGAGAGAAACGTAAGCGAAGACACTCTCTTTTCGTTTGTGATGGTGCCACTCACAGATGCAGTGTCCACTTGGTAGACATCTATTTTATTCAGTATAACAACTACGTATTTCTCTGCTCTTGGGGACCATTCCACTACGTGAGCATTTTGTTTTATATTTTTTATAAATGCTGATCTTCCTTCCACAAGATTCCATGTTCTTAATGTCTTATCTGTACCCACAGACAGGGCCAACTTGCCAGATGGGTAAATAGAAAGGAAGGTCACGTGTCCTTTGTGAGCTTTAATGGACTCCAGGCACTCCCATTTCTTTGCATCCCAGACACAAATGAGTCCATCTTCGGCCCCACTGATTAAGTGCCTGTTGCCATGGAATTTCAGGCAAGTTATTGTGCCGCTGTGATGCCCCAGAGCTCCGTGGTCTACCTTCTTCTTCATGTCGTATATGTGGATCGTTTCATCTTTGCTCCCAGGACTATGAAACGACTACTGACAGCCACTGCTGACAACAAGGCGGTGTGGGCATGGTGAGTGAAGTCAGCCACAGAAGTCCATTTTTGCTCTTGGTCGCTGCTTGCATCTGGCTCGGGGCGGACAGCGAACCCAAAAAGGACCTGTTCGTAACAACCAGCTACCAGCTCCATTCAGCAGCGCACCTGCCCCTTCAACCAGCATGGAAGGTTTTTCTGATTGTGTGCCACTGAATTTTGGAGTGTTTCTAAGTTCCCTTATTCCAGCATGTAGCTACTAGGTTAAGGAAAGTTTTGCCTCACAAAATGGCTTTCAAATTCTTCTAGGTTAGATGGATGTACCTTTTAATATCATGACATCTTGCTTTTTTAGTGCCAAAGTAACATATTTCTCCTTCCACTTGCTAAGTCATCCATATGTCTCATAATTTGGCAATTTGCTAACAATTATCCTTCAAAAATAGATGATACATTGTGAGAAATAACATCCTGTGTGAGTTTACAATGAGAAAATCATGAGTCAGATTTAATGAGTTTTCTCTCCCAGCCCAAGGGCCCTCACAAACATTCTGTCCCTCAGTTCCCCAGGGTCCATTTTTCCAAGAGACCTTTATCATCTGATTCCAACACACTTCAATTCAAGTTGAAGTAAATCTAAATAAAGGATAAAAGAACCATGCCTCCTGCTTTAACATGTGTTAGACTGATTATATCATTTCCAAAGGATTTACTAATAATATCCAGATGGGACTATCCCTCATGTATAACATTTTATTAGTTCATAAAAAGTGGAATTTATTAAACTACTGACTGTATGGATGTATCCATCCACGGAATACTGATATTTGCAATCACAGAAACTGTCTTCCATGTAACAACTAAAAATAATACTTAACTAGTTTTTACATCATAAAACAACTTTTAGGAAATCCTACAATTAAGGTTTTGCTTATCATTTTATCATGAAGGAAATTTTTTAAGGCTTATGTCTGATCTTATTATTCCTTCTCTGTGTCTAGTGTTATGGGATCAAATTAAAGAAGCCCAGATAGAGATCTGGCTTCCATATTCCAGCCACCATGCAGGAGGGGAACCAGAAGAGAAGCACCAAAATCTAATGAGGTGAATGTCATTAAAATAGTTATTGATAAAATTTCATCAATAATAAATTTAGCAATTGATAAAATTTCAGTAACACTGATAACAGCAGTGTAAACAGGATTGTATCTGAGAAAATTCATTAGAATAAAAACCCCACGTGGGAAAGAGCATTGAATTATTATTTTTTTAATGACTCTATTCTCAATACCTAAGCCAGTATCTAGCCCATGTCTAAGTCTCAATATAGTTTGTGAAGTGTATGTTGAATAGTGAATGTGTAGATAATGTTTCTTGCCTACGTGCATTAGTCTCTGGTCTTTAGTTATGACACATATGCCAACAGCTTTTTTTTTTTTCCTAATTGGGGAAGCCATGTTTTCTAGTCTCTTTTCTCTTTATTTAGTTTGGAATGATCATTAGCTGCTTATCTTCCAAGCCCACTTCTCCACACCTCAAAGGATTCTCTGAGCTGCCCAATATTCTCTTGACACATTCATTTTTCTCTTAAGTTTGTCAGAGACCATTTTTGTTGTTGAAAACTGAGAATCCTGACAGAGGATCCCTGTGCTCCTTGGGGCCCAGAGGAGGTTTCCTCCCAGGGACTCAGCTCGACTTACCAGCTGAGGCCCCTGCCTGTTCTTTATTGGAACTTTCTTCCCTTAGGGCAGATGTAAGGATTTGGGGAGAATAAATCGTGAATCTGGTGCTAATAATAACTTGTACTTTCCTTGCAACTTTTGTTCCCCACAGAGCTCAAAATGTTTTACAAACCCAGCATTTTGTTCTGTGGCTATTATTCCCAAGGATATTACACTTGAGGAGAATATGTATTTCTAGAAAAATTGCCAGAGAATTGTTACATGTGAATAGAAACTGAAGAGAATCTTGTTTCTGACCCACAGCTAAAAGAACACTCTTTTGTTCGCTTGATGATATTAATAATCATGAGGATGATATTTTAATGCTACATATATGCATTAAAGAAGAAAAAGTCCTAGAATCAGACCTTCAGTTACTTCAACTACTTGGATCCTTAGGTAAAGAGCCAGGGCAGGTCTATTTTTCACTATGTGCTCTATTATTTTGACATTCTGGACTGTTAATAATCATTTCAATTTTTATTTCATTAAAAGGATGCAGTATCATAATGCATAATGAAAATAGCCATCTATTTTATGCCTCTGTATATTTTTAGAAAAATAAACAATTTTTAAAGCAAAATAGAAAAAAAAATCCCATAAATGTAAGCTTCAGGATTTGATCCATTTTAGACAACTAATCTGGAAAATTCATTTTGGCCTCCCCTGCCCATCATCATACTTCCCAAATCTCCACCTTTAATTGTGTGATAAATCATAGTGTTTATAAGTAACTAATAACCTATTGATTGAGTGATTTGTATGAGTGATTTGTATGTCCCCAATAATTCCTTGTACGTGAACTCAATGATTTCTCCTGGGTTCACACTCTCTGTAGCTCCCCTCTCTCTCACACTGTACTAGGGGTGGCTTGTATGATCAGTACAGATGTTATAATACTTATAATGTTAAAAGTATTCCACTCCTGGAATTAGGTTAAAAGACTGAAGCTTCTTTTTTGGATATTCTTCTGCCCCTCCGCCATGTTGTAAAAAGCCCAGGTGGTGACGGGCTGACACCTCTGACCTGCAGGCAGCACAGAACTGAGAAACTGAGGCCCGCCAACAGTCACATAAATATGTTGAGCCTTGTGCTGATTGCAGCTCCAGTTAGCAGTCTGACCTCAACCTCATGAGCCAGAACCCACCCCAGGTAAGCCACTACTGGGCTCCTGGCCCTCAGAAACTGTGAGCTAATATGCATTTGTTATTTTCAGTTGCTAAATTTTGCAGCAATTTTTCACACAACAATAGAGAGCTAATACCATTTCCATGGTGCTAATCTGATAGAAAAAAAATTTCACTGTAAAAATTAAAATTGTCCACATACAGGGTGGTTTGCATTCGGGATATCCAAAAGGAGGTGCTTAACTAGTCACCATCTTCAATGATCAGTGCCTCTATCCTGAATTTCATTTACAATTAATGTTTAGCTATTGGTGATATTAACTAAAATTAAATCAGAGGAGAATGAAAGCAACTTTGAACCTTACTGAAACAAAGTCTAGCATGCATCTATATTGACTATCTTAAAAACATTTTTTGGATTTAAAGTATGATCTGAATTATTTTAGTTTTCTATTGAAGTCTATGGTCATGAGCAAAGACTTTGAGTGTTATGGGAGTATCTCAGGGAAATCTAAAAGATGTTCTATCAAAATCTTCAGCGTCTTAATTCTTTTGATTCATTATGGGACAAACTAAATGTCTACCATGGGGCAGATACTGTTCCAGGCAAAGGGTGTAAGACAGCAGTAAACTAAACAAAGCAATCTCTACCTTCAGGATGTTTACATTCTGGTAAATTCTACAAAATATTTAGGACAGATGGGCCAATGTCAGGATTATTACCCCAGTAAAGCCATGGTTCTTCACAGGACAAAATATTTGTTTATATTGTACAGAAATTCGTCTTCCTATGGGTGACATTCCCTAGTGTTAGCTTTTTCCTCTAAATGCCACACTGTGTATCTGCACCGTTTATCAAACGACTGCCCTTCAAATAGCTGAAAGGTGGCTCTTAGATTTTTCTTGCAGTATCTCACTCACTCCCCCATTTTTTAACCAGGCTACAACTTCAGTAACTTTATATGTGTTTTTGAAAATCCAAATATCTGAAATTTAAAGAGCAGCAATTGCTTTGGGCTAAATGGATTTTTATGTTTGTACATTTTTGCTCTGTGATAAACTCTAACATATCCTAACATCTCATTATTAAGTTATTCCCCTCATACATGTTAATATGGCATGAGCTATGCAGACAGTATCTGCTTTTAAATGTTTCATTCTTGGAAAATGGAATTTTAATGCATTTTAAAGATGCAGATAAGATGCCCTTTTTTAGCTTTGCTTTGGTGGGCACAAGGTTAAAGTGCAGTCCTCATGATGCTGCCTTGTGAAGAAGCTGTTTGGAAATCTAGTAGAGATGAGCCAGCATAGTGAGAAGGACTCTTTCCCTCTGCCATGAAGACATAGAAACAATGAAAAGCTGCCCATCTTTATGCTTTGTCGAAGGTAATATACTGCACCTTGAAGAAAGAAAAAGATGTTAAGCATATACAGTAAAAAATGGTGAGCAGTGAGAGATGAACAGGACAGAAAGAAAAAGGATGGCTTGGATTTAAAACTTATTTATCATTTTGAATCAGATACCTGTTCTTGATGGCTGCATTCTTTGCCAAGGAAGTAAAACTTGAGTATTTGGAAGCCATTGTTGGGGAAAAAAATGGAGACTGATCACTTTTCTTCACAGTCAGGAAAAAAAAGGAGACTGATCACTTCAAAATGCAAAGTAGCTCTGAGTACATCATTTTGGAGTTTTCCATTGTCTGTCAGTGACTCATACTATATCCAACTGAAGCTTTGCATTTCTCCAAATTTGAGAAGACAGTATATGACTCATTGACAGACAATAGCAAATTCTTCACAAGATAGCAGGGGGCATGAGAAACAAACATCTGGGAACTAAGTTGTAAAGAATTAATTTAAGAGCTAAGATGGTGCTGTCCACCTCCATCTGTACACTTGCTCTCCTGCAACATGTTTATTTGTTCTTCTTTAAATGGAGAAAAAATATGTATATAGTGTCACAGTGAAAATAATAGCTTTAGATTGCTAGCACAGCTTTCTCAATGACGTTACGCCGGGTTCACATATCTTCCTATAACAGGCAAAGTTGAAATATGCTGATTTGTTTTTACTGTTGTTTTTAAGTCATGTAGTTATATTACATATATTTTTAAATTTAGACCTGGGGCACTGACTGGCTCAGTTGGTTGAGCCTCCAATATCGGCTCAGGTCATGGTCTTGTGATTCTTGAGTTTGAGCCCCACATTGGACTCACTGCTGTAAGTGCAGAGTCCATTTTGGGATCCTCTGTTCCTGTCTCTGCACCTTTTCTGCTTGCACACTTTCAAAAATAAATAAACATTTAAGATAGATAGA